GGGGAGGTGCTGCGGGGCGGCGCCTGCCGCCCGCCCTCAGACTGGCCGCGGGCGCGCCCCGGGACCGCGCTTGGGGCTCCTGCCTCCGCCGTTCTGGCCGGGGGAAGAGTCTCTTCCACCTGGAGCTGGGAGGGAACGCTAGGGTTCCCCGTGAGAGCCTGAGCCGGTCCCCACCTCTCACCCTCGAAAAAGCTCTTGGCGCCTCAGAACTTAGCAAGCTCGGGGAAACACAGAGGGGTCTAAGCCAGATGGGAAGGCTGTCGTGGAGCCCGCCAGGGATGAGTACGTGAGTGAATGAGGCAAAGAGAACTGTCACCCCCCCCCCCCCCCCCCCCCCACGCGATCGTGCCCACAGAATAAACCAAGCGTTTAAGCACGGAGAATGAAAAGTTGTACTACGGACAGAATCTTAAGGAAAAAATATCCTAGATTCGTCTAGCGCTGAGTTCTCTCTCTCGCTGTTGGAAACAAAACTAAAATAAAAAGCCTCATCTTTTTCTGCACCTAATGCCCCCTCCCACTTTTCTAATGTCCGCCTCAGGCGCCATCTTTAACTCTGAGTCACCGGGGGAAGAAAAATACTAAATGCGTTAGGCCTGGACTCCTGAGTTAGGGGCCGTTTTTTGGAGTTGTAGCCACATATTAATTACATAGCCTGTTGCTTCACGTGTGCAGAACGAGAGTTATGGGTATTTCTTTGGAGGCCAGCTCTTCCCTTCTCATTGGCATCGCCACACCTTACAAAGTATACCTCATCTGTTTCTCCAGGCCTGTGAAGAGGCTGTAGGAAATGTTACCAATCCGTTGCTTGCCAAACTGAGCTGTTCGACTTTCCACTCAGTCTTCAAGATGTGCGTCTTTCTTTAAGCCACCACCGTTTTTATAGTATTTTAGTAAGATACTGTTGGGAATATCGAAAAATGGTCAGGGCCCCTCAGATGTTCAGAATCTTGCTAGCATCTAATGTAAATATTCACATGAGCCCAGGTGTTCTTTGGTTATTGTCCAATGTAATTGCGCATGTGCACCCAGGTGTCCTGCGTTATGGACTTAAGTATAAAGGACTAAGGGCTCTGATACACGGTGCTTCCTTGGAGGCTCTGGGAAGCCACTAGGGTGGCTGCTCCTAGCTCTGAATCAAGCTTATTAATTTTTTACCCTGGGCTCCCAGGACCTTTTCCTGTCACCAACTCGTAGACCTGCGTGTGGAGGGTTTGTGACCCCTTCTGTACAACCAGCTTGAGGGGTCTGTGAGCCCCAGCCCCCAGTGTCCTAAATGTGCCTTACACCAAGTCATGTCCATTCTACCTTTTTATCATCCTCAGTGTATAGCCTATCCATCTCAACTGCCACTGCCTAGTGCCAGTCTTCAGCACTTTTCACTGAGATTATGGGAGATGGCTCCTTTGCTAGTCCCCTCACTCCAGTCTGTGTGGGGATTTTTTGTTTTGCGGGGGAGGGGTTTGTGGGTTTTTGGCGGCTGGCCTGTATGCCTGACTCCAGTTTTGACTCCTAAATTCCGTTCTCCTCACTGCTACCAGAATGACCTCACCAAAAATGTAAATCTGATAATGCCACTCTCTAGCTGAAAATTCTTCAAAGGCGATCTGTAGGAGAAAATCTATTTTGCCTAGGATACAGGATGTTCCATCTCCCTGATGAATTTCATCTCATTACCTCCTTGTTTCGTATTATTTTTTAATATTGAATGATGTTACCATACAATTTTATGTAATATTAAATTATGTGCTCCCTGCAAAACAATCCATACCCTTTCATGCCCCCAGTCCTTGCAGATATTGTCCCAGCTCCCTGCAAATCCTTCCTTGTACACTCCTACTCCTGCATTTATCAGTCCAAATGTTGCCCATCCTTTGAATCTTAAGCAGGTTGACTAACTCCTGTAAATACTCCAGCTATGCCCTATCAGACTTTGGAGACTCATTCTATAAATTATATTTTCATTGTTTGCATTATAATTTCTCTATCCCCAGCATGTATCACAGTATCAATCAAGTAGTTGGTACTTCATGAACATTTGTTGAGTGAGAAATAGATGACATGTGTTGAGCTCCTTCTGGGAGTTACGCATTATAGGTGTTTTATGTACCTTTTATCTGTCCTCACAACTGCCATTAAAGTACCCACTTTTACAAAGAGAGATCATAACTCTGGCTACTCATTGTTAGGCAGATGTTATTTTCAGAGCACATTCTCCAGTCTATAAAACTGGCTGACATGTAAACCTTTTATCTCTTGCCTCAGACTTCACAATAGCTTATAAAGGTGTAGTGGGGGAGTCAGGGTATATTTCATAGCAGATGTGACATTTATGGAAAAACCTAAATAATATGTAGAGTTGTCCAGGTTGGGAAGGGTTTCTTTGTAGAGAAAGATGGAATAGAGTGTTCATTAAGAGAAAGTTTGGCATAATCCCAGAATGGAAATAAATTCAACATGGCTGACTAAAAGGTACAGAATGAGGCTAGGGACTTTGGGAGAAAATAAGACAAGAGATATAAGTAAGTTATTAAGAGACCACACAGTATCATGAAGTTGATGAGGTATCATTGAAGGGCTTTAACCAGGGGGTGAAATTGTTAAGTATCAAAGATAACTCTGGCTGCAGTGTGGAGAATGGATTGGAAGAAAGCAAATACTGATTCAGGAATACCAGTTAAGATCTTGTTGCTGTAGGCCATGTAAGAGACCATGGTGGTATCTACTTAAATATTCTTTTTTCCCTAGCTCTTCCTTCTAAAGGGGTCTAGAAGCAATGGTATGCTAGAAGCAATGAGCACATGGTACCTAGATTTTGGTTTCTAAACACTATTGTTCACTAAAAAGAAGTAAGGCCCCTTAGAGAAGTGGTTGATTCCAAAGCAGCAAAGTACAGAGTGAGCCTAGAAAATCTTGCTTTGCCTTACATTAAGAATGTTCTCGCAGAATGATGAAACATATGAAAGGGGCACAGAAGCCAGCTTGAAGGAGTCCCCATTGGCCATATCCTGGGTCAGTCTGAGCACCAATTTAATAATATTAATACAGTAGATCATAAACCACTAAATAAAATAGGAATACTTGAGTCCATACTGAAATAAATAAATGAATTTTTTGAAGAATAGGGATAAATCTCTTCCTTACATTAAAATGCCAACTAATGAATGTAGAAGGAATGATATAGGTATATACATTACTATATAACAACTATTACAGTTAAAACTGATCCAAACGAGAATCATCAATGCATACTAGAACTAGAGGATGAGTTTTGAGACATAACATTTACAGTCTCCAAGTGTCTCTCCACTATATACTTATTAATTACAAAGGGAAAAAATAGAAATTTGAGAGTGTAGAAATCTGGCACTGGTGATCAACCAGTCATGAGACAAATCAACATTGTGTGCCACCTGGTAAGAGACCCTTAGAACACACTTCTGTGACATTCCTGCCAAAAATGCATTATCTGAATCTAATTATTAGGAAAGATCAGACAACACCAAATTGAGGGACATTCTACAAGATCATAGACCTGTATTCTTCAAGTGTCAAGGTCATGAAAGACAAAGGAACAATTAAAGAACTTTTTCAGATTGAAGAATAAAAAGACATGACAACCAAATAGAACACATGATTCTTAATTGGATCCTTTTGCACTAAAGATATTGAGACAATTGACAAAATTTTAATGGAGTTTCTGGATTAGATGGTAGTATTTTAACAATGTTAATTTCCTGATTTTGACGACTGTCCTCCATAACATAGTAGATATATTTGTTTTTAGAAAATACATGCTGAATTATTTAAAGGTAATGAGGCTTCATGTCTGCAACTTACTGAAATGGCTCAGAAAAAAGTATAAATTATATAAATAAATATAAAGACATAGAGAAAAAATAGCACAAATGTAATATGTCAACATTTGGGGAATTTGGGCCAAGACAGAAGTTCTTTTTTTTTTTTTTTAAAAAAAAGATGACTGGTAAGGGGATCTTAACCCTTGACTTGGTGTTGTCAGCACCACGCTCAGCCAGTGAGCGAACCGGCCATCCCTATATGGGATCCGAACCCGGGGCCTTGGTGTTACCAGCACCACACTCTCCCGAGTGAGCCACAGGCCGGCCCAAGACAGAAGTTCTATATACTCTTCTTGCAATTTTTTGTACATCTATAATTATTTTAAGATTATAAAAAATGTTTTAAAGGTGCTGATATTTCTGGCTTAGGTAAGTGGATGGAAAATGGCTAACTAAGTAACAATGGAAAGTCAGGAAGAGCAAGTATGGAGGAAAAGATGTTTAGTTCCAGTGGGATACATCCAGGAGACAGTTGAGTATATAATAAACATGTTGATGAGCCCCATCAAACTGGAGAAAGCAGATATGCTACTTAAGCTCTCATTACCTGAGAGTGCAAGACTGAGGTCACTCTAAGAGTAATAGCCTAGTAATGATAACAAAAATTGGCTGATCATCCATGAACAAATTATATGTATATGATAGATTTAGAGTATTTAAAACGTTTAATAAATAGTGAATTTATTGAATAATACATGCATGTGATTGATATACAAAAGAGTTAATCCCAAGTACAGGATGTACATTAACCAATCAGAACGGATGTTGGTTTTATTGCTTGTATTAGTTCACTGGGGTTGTAACGCCAAAGTACCACAGACTGGGTGGCTTCAACAACAGAAATTTATTTTCTCACAATTATGGAAGTTAGAAGTCTGCAGGGTTGGTTTCTTTCCAGGCATCTCTCCTTGGTTTGTAGATGGTCGTCTTCTCCCTGGGTCTTCATATAATCTTCCCTCTATACCTGTCTGTGTCCCAATCTCTTCTCATAAGGGCACAGTTATATTGGATTAGGGCCCACCCTAATGACCTTACTTCAACTTAATTAACTCTTTAGACACTCTATCTTCAAATACAGTCACACTCTGAGGTACTGGAGGTTAGAACTTCATCACATGAATTTGGGGATGGGGCACAACTTAGCCCATACCACTGCTGGAGTAGGGTTCTGGAGCCAGAACAGATGCAAAGAATGGGCCTTATTTCAATTCTGATTCAAAGAAATCAACTGTATAATGAGATATTTTAGGCAATCGGAGAGTTTTCATTATGAGCTAAGTATTAGATAATACTAAGGAAGTTTTGTTGATTTCATTAGATGAAATGATGGTATTGTGGTTACGTAAGATATAAGTGCTTGGAATAGATTGACAAGGCATCTGAGGTTTGCTTTAAAATATTTGAGACTAAAATAAAAAAAGGTAGAGAAAGATGATACACGTATATCTAAATTTTGATGGTTGTTGAAGCTGGCTGATAAGTACCTGGTATTTTATTATACTTTTTCTTTGTATGTTTGGAAATTTTCACAAGAAACAGAAAAAATAAAAGAATTAACCTATTGTAGAGAATTAGAACTGTGAAAAAAAAGAAAAAATTCTCAATACCACAGCCCAAAGATAATATCAATTAACTTTTTTGACAAATTTCTTTTCAGTCTGTTTTCCATGCATATTTTAATTTTGGTCATGTAGTATGTAAAGTGTTTATTTCTGCTTTCTTGAATTAAAATTATGTTATAATTTCATTTCCATGCACTTATATATGCCATGTAAACTTCATTAACAATTCTGTCAATAATCTTCATGTAGGTTCACAGTATAAATTCAATCATCCGGATGTTTATAATGTGGAAACTGAAAGTCAGCCATATGCTAATTGCTGATCATAGTCTTTTTTTTTTTTTTTTTTCCCCTTCCTTTTTGTCTTTTTTCGTGTCCGGCAACGGATCGCAACCCTCAGTGTTGCGCCCGCACCGGACCGGGACCGGCAACGGGATCGCAACCCTCGGTGCTGCGCCCGCACCTCGCTCAGCCAGTGAGCGGGAACCGGTCTGTATGTGGGATCCGAACCCTTGGCGGGAGCGCCACCGCGCTCCCAAGCGGCGCACTGTAGCAGTGCGCCACCTGGCCAGCCCTGATCATAGTCTTTTATACATTCTTCCAGACTTTCATGCACATACCAAATATATTAAATTATAGACAACTTCATACTATAGATTTTTTTTCCTGCCACCTTACTTTTGTACTTTATCATATATAATTATCCTAGAAGGTTTTTTATGTCAGTAATACTCCTATGCATCTACTCCATTCATTTTAATGGCTTTGTATTATACTATTTCTATTCTAACTTTTCTTTATCAATTATAATAAAAATGCCAAAAAGTGATATGGTGAGATTTAAAACAAGAGAGCTTTCTTATAAGTCACCCAGATTATTACCAAATTTATTCCTCATTATTTTATACAGTTTTTATGCTATTCTGAATGCATTCACTTCTCTTGTTATATTTTCTAACAGGTGATTGCACATCTTCCTGCTGCTCCTCCTACTAGGGCTTATTTGCTATTTATCTTATCTTCTTGACCTTTTGGTGCTGGAGTATCCCAGAGGTGAGTTCTTGGACTTCTTCTGTACCTACACTTACTCACTAAGTAATTTCTTCCAGTTCTATAGTCCCATTATCATACAGATTCCTCCCAAATGTATTTTTTCCACCCATTCTTCTCTCCTGAACTTCAGACTTGTAAATGTAACTGCATACTAGATGTCTCCACTTAGATGTCCAAAAGGAATCTCAAACTTAACTATTCTAACACTGGACTCCTTATCTTCTGCCTCTTGAACAAACCCCACTTGATGCTTTCTCCATCCCCATAATGACAACTCTATTTTTCCAGTTACTCAAGCCAAACAGCAAACACCTTGGAGTAATCTTTGACATTTTCCCTTTTCTTATACCCCATATCTGACCTCTCTGGTTATTATAGACTTGAACTAAAATCCTTTGTAAGAAGGGCTATGTTTATAATTCAGAGGTGAATTTTTTTTTTCCATCCAAACTTTAGCCCTGACAAAAAAACTTCCTTGTTTCTCTTTACTGGTGTAATCTTTTGAGGGTTCCAGTTGTATGCAAACATCTTAGTTCCCATACTGAACAAGACCTCATATCTTATGTTTTGGGAGGCCATTACATAGTAGGACTATACTCCTGGTATCAGCAAATGCTCCAGCATGGGAATGCCCTCAGCCCTTGCTTTCCATTCTTGTTTCAGTTCTTTCTTATCTTTGGGCCCCTGAAAATCTCTTTTACTTTCCAGTGAGCTCAATGCGACGTGTTAGCATATTTAGCTATTTTTCAGATTTTTTTTCAGTGTATCTGATATAGTTTGGATATGTTTGTTTCCCCAAAGCTCATGTTGGAAACTTACTCCCAACTGACATTGTTAAGACAGTAGGAAATCTTATTGTAATTGAAAGACGGGGCCTTTAGGATGTGATTAGAATGTGAGGACCATGTCCTAGTGAATGGATTAATCCATTGATGGTTTAATTTTGGTCATGGGCATGGTTCTGATGGCTTTAAGAGAAGAGTGTGTGAGAAGCTCTCTCTCTCTTGCTTCTGCCATTCTTGCCATGTGATACGCTGCATCTCTGTGGAGAGTCACCACCCACCAACAAGGCTGTCACCAGATGTGTTCCCTGGACTTTGGAAACTGTAAGCAATAAATATTGTTTCTTTAAAAAATACTCAAATACAGGTATTTCTGTTGTAAGCAACAGAAACAGACTACTACATTATCTCTTTGACATATTGGATAAGGAGGGATTCCTTCTCTGTCAACTCTTAATACTTGTTGCAGGAAATTTTATGAGTTAATAGTAATGGTTTTTTGATAGTGATTGTCAGTCAAATTTAGCAGATGACTAACTGAATTAATGTATTCTTACTTATACTCTTTCTGTGGGGTAACATGCTAAGAAAACTCCATGAACCTGTAGATAAGGGTTGGGTCAGACTTCACTGAGCTTCCTGTAGTGTATAAAGCTGTATGTAGATTGGCTGTTTACATACAAATATCATTTTATTAGGAAAATGTTTTTATTTAGGTCTCAGAAGTCCCCACGAAAAACAGGAACTGCTGCAGAGACTAAGGGGAAGTGAAAAATCCAGGTCAGCCTATCCTCAGTCTAGAGCTCTAAAGCAATGAGCACTAGATGGCAGCATATTAACATGTATCATCATTACCTGGGCCTAAAAGATTTCAATTTAAGGGTGTGCAAGTCCTTATTATTACATTTTACTACAAATGTATTTGTTATCCAAACTAACTTACTGAAGTTTAATATAATAGTTTGAACTTATTATAGTTGATGAGATGCAATTTGATGCAAGGGCTGAAAATAGTTTCTAGATTAATAAACACAGAACAGAACGGTGACTGTACCACCATAGTGTGTCTAGAAATACATGCAAGAATCCAGAGCCCTTATCTGTCATTAAAGGCAGCCCTCCAGACAGCTCATCTTTTTTCTTTTTTTGTTGGGGGTGGCAGGCAGCTGGCTGGTACAGGGAGGAGAATGTTGGTATTGTGATGATGAGATGTCCAAAATTATCAGACTAGGCAATCATGCCTGGAACTACTCTTTTCGTTTGTTTTTATTTGTGTGTGTGTTTGTTTGTGGCTGGCCGGTAAGGGGATCCGAACCCTTTGACCTTGGTGTTATAAAACTGTGTTCTAACCAACTTAGCCAACTAGCCAGCCCAGACAGCTCATCTTCTGTCTATAAGAAGAAGTCTTCTGGTTGGGCAAATGCACATTTTGGACACTCATTAATGTTCTGAGTTGCAAGGCCTTTTGTGGATGCTAATGTTTAAATTTTCATCTTATTATTCAAATGGTATGTTATCTATTTACTAGGTTGGCAACCAGTTTCATTTCTCTTACTAAATGTGAAATTAGGGTCTTCCCAACTTCTGTTGTGGGTAACCAGCCTCCTTCTCTAAGGGAATCAGGTCAGATATCTCTACCATAGACGAGAAGGGACTTTTCTTGTTATAACATGAGGGATTATCTTTTAATGTATAATTAGTATGTGTAAAGCAAGGCAAATCATAACCAAATCCAAAATGTTTCATTATTGTAGTTATTATTTTAGTTATATTAAGTTTCCACTTATATTGTCAGAGCTAGGGCTCAGAAACTTCAAACCCATTGTATAGACTGGGTCCCCAGACCCCTCACACACAGTTCCATGCTAGGTAATTGGGAAAGATCCCAGGAGATGTTGGCATACGACACAAGCTCAGTCCTCAGCTTCCTCAGCGGCAGAAGCTTATAGGTCCAGTAGCTTACAGGTCTGGTGGTGGCGGTGGCCTTGAGGATTGTCCCGGGGGCACTAGCATCAGCAGCCTCCAGCAGCTGTAGTGGCCATATGATCACTTTCCCTGGGTCTTCACATGATCTTCCCTTTATGCCTGTCTGTGTTCTAGTCTATACTTTTAAGGACACAGTTGTGTTGAATTATGGCCCACCCTAATGACTCTACTTTAACTTAATTAAATCTTTAGAGACCCTATCTTCAAATACAGTCATACTTTGAGGTACTGGAGGTTAGGACTTCATATGAATTTGGGAGTGGGGCACAACTCAGCCCATAACACTGCTGGAGTAGGGTTCTGGAGCCAGAACAGATGCAATGAGTGGGCCTTGTTTGGGTTCTGATTCAAAGAAACCAACTATATAAAGAGATGTTTTAGGCAATCAGAGATTTCTCATTATGGGTTAAGTATTAGATGGTAGTAAGGAATTTTTGTTTCTTCTGGTGATTCCCTATCTCATCACTATTTTTTGATTCATCAATTTTAAATATTATCTTATTTTATTGCTGAGAGACAATGATTTAACTCATGTTTATTGACTTCCACCTGCCCTATCTATCTCTTCCCAGTAAAGTCAAATAAAGAGGCAGTACAGCACAGACTCTGAAATCCCACTTGCACCATTTAACAGCTATGTGACCTTAGGCAAGTTACTCAAGCTCTCTGAGTGTCTTTTTCCTCTTCTGTAAAATGGGAGTAATAATAGTCCATTCTTCAAGGGACTATTGTGAGGCTAAATGGGTCAATACATTTAGAACAGTAGACAAGTGTTACTATTACCGTTACAATCTTTAGTTCCTCTTTTGGTTATCTTTGCATGTTTAAGAATATACTTACCCCTTTATATCTGCTCAACTATATATAAAGTCTCTTGACAGTCCACTTCGTAAGATGAAAATGTTGGCAACCTTGTACTGCCTTCACTCTTATCCCTTCCATGTCTCAATATCACCTCTCGTATTTACCTAACTGTTCTATTTCTGTGGGATTTTTTAAAACTTAATCTTCTGACCATATACTGAAAATTTTACGTTAGCAATCATATTAATAATTTCAGAGGGTTTTATCTGATCTCTAATGTTCCATTTTATAGAATTTTAAAGATTCAACATTTTATTGACTATTTTGTCAGTCAAGGTCCAGTTAGAGGACGAACGTTACCACACCAGTGATTTGAATAGGGAGAATATTTGTGAACTAAGTAAAATGTAAACTAAGTAAAAGATTTATTAGCTACTGAAAGAAAACTCTAAGGTATACAGAGATAGTAACTGAAGAAAGCAGCTACTACTCCTAGGATTGAGGGAAAAGTGAATAAGGAAGGAACTTGGAAACTCAGGAGGAAGAGCCCCAGAGGCTGAGATTCAGACCTCTGAGTGGGCATGGTTGCCATAGGAACACACAGCTTGCTGCTGTGTTAAACACTGGAGGGACCCTTGCATGCCCAACAAGTGAAAAATACCAAAACCAGAAAAACATCTTGATTATGGTGTATGATCCTTTTGATGTGCTATTGAATTCAGTCTGCTAGTATTTTGCTGAGGATTTTTGCATCTATGCTCATCAGGAATATTGGCCTATAATTTTCTTGTAATGTCTTTATTTGGCTTTAGTATCAAGTTAATGCTGGCCTGGTAAAGTGAATTTAGAAGTGCTCCCTCAGCTTCAATTTTTTGGAAGAGTTTGAAAAGGATTGCCATTAATACCAGTGAAATCTAGTCCTGGGCTTACCTCTGTTGGGAGGTTTTTGATTACTGCTTCAATCTCCTAGTTCACTATTGGTCTGTTCAGACTTTCTATTTCTTCATGATTCAATCCTGGTAGGTTGCATGTTTCTAGGAATTTATCCATTTCTTCTAGCTTGTCCAATTTGTTGGTGTACAATTGTACATAGTAGTCTTATGAGATCCTTTGCATTTCTGTGCTATCAATTTAATGTCTCCTGTTTCATTTATAATTTTATGTACTTGAGTCTTCTTTTTTCCTTGGTTAGTCTAGATAAAGGTTTGTCAATTTTGTTTATCTTTTAAGATAAACAACTCTTAGTTCTGTTGGTCTTTTCTATTATTTTTCTATTTCATTTATTTCTGCTCTAATCTTTGTTATTTCCTTCCTTCTGCTAATTTTGGGATTAGTTTGTTCTTTTTCTAGTTCCTTGAGGTATAAAGTTGGATTGTTTATTTAAGGTTTTTACTTTTTCTACAATCTTTTTAATGTAGACAATTATCCTTGTAAACTTCCCTCTAAGGACTGAGTTTGAATCTTACAAATTTCAGTATGTTGTGTTTTCATTTGTCTCAAGATATTTTTTGATTTCCCTTTTGATTTCTTCTTTGACGCACTGGTGTTCAAGGGTGTGTTATTAACTAAACATCCGTTCCCAGATGAACGGAAAACGTGGCATATACATACAATGGAATATTACTCAGCTTTAAAAAAGAAGGAAATCCTACCATCTGTGACAACATGGAGGAACCTGGAGGGTATTATGCTAAGTGAAATAAGCCAGACACTAAAGGACAAATATGTATGATCTCATTTATATGTGGAATCTAAAATTGTCAAACATTGGGCCGGCCCGGGGCGCACTGCTATAGTGCGCCGCTTGGGAAGCACGGTGGCGCTCCCGCCAAGGGTTCGGATCCCACATACAGACCGGCCGCTCACTGGCTGAGCGAGGGGCGGGAGCAACACCGAGGGTTGCGATCCCGTGGCCGGTCCCGGTCCGGTACGGGCGCGACACTGAGGGTTGCGATCCATTGCCGGTCACGAAAAAAGACAAAAAGGAAAATAAAATAAAATAAAATTGTCAAACATAGAAGCAGAAAGTACAATGGTGATTGCCAGGTGCTGCAGGGAAGGGGAAATGAGGAGGTAATGATTAAAGAATACAAAGCTTTAGTTATGCAACATAAATAAGTTCTGGAGATCTACTATACTGCATAGTGCCTATAGCTGGCAATACTATATTGTATACTTAAAATTTGCTAACAGGGTAGATCTCATGTTCAATGTTCTTACCACAAAAATGTGGGGAGGGAGAAGGAAACTTTGGGAGGTGATGGATATATTTATGGCCTTAATGGTAGTAATGGTTTCACAGGTGTATTCCAAAACTCAACAGGTTGCATACATTAAATATATACAGCTTTTTATATATCAATCATACCTCAATAAAGTGGTTTAAAATAAAATAAGATAAAAAATGCCTCCTCCCCTTCTGACCTTGCAGTGTTTGACCGTGTGGTATTTTTTCCCCAGTGGTCTGTATTGGCAGAGCCGGTATGGAGCCAGCCAGCAAAGATCAAATCTTGAGTCTGGATCCAGTATCACAAGCAGGGAAAAAAGGAATGGGTTTGGAACTGAAAGGTAATAAATTAATAAGTGGCATAACTATCTTTGAGCATATCCGATAAATAGACTGTCTTCCTTTTTTTTGTTCTCTCCTATTGAATTATTTCCACTTTCCCTGTGGATGTTTTACCCCCTGCTGTTTATCTTTTCTTGGCTTCTCTTTAATTCTAGAGCCTTTTTAAAAAAATGTCTGGGGTTCCTTAGTTACTTGTTAAAAATAAAGCAGTGAAAAGCTGATTGGTTGTGAACTGGGCTCGTCAATTGATCCACTTCACTTTAGGGTGTTTGGATGGAAAACAGCCACACTGGCTGCACGACTTCTTTCCAGACTGTGCCGTTTCTATAGAGAAGAATCTTCCAGTTTTTTACTGGAGTGGTAGATACCTGGCTGTTGAGCATTCCACTTTTGGGAGTAAGGAAGTGGCAGGGGTAATTATAACTTATACTGATTTTAAATTAATTCCCCCATTTTTAATTACACATTCCACTACCTGATTCCAGGTGGTGTTTTCTGAGCTTCTCTGTATTTCTGCAAGGCTAATTTTCTCAGCTTCTTTAGAAACCACTTACATTGGTTTCTTATGGCTACTATAACAAATTACCACAAACTTGGTAGCTTAAAACAAAAGAAATACATTCTTTCACAGATATGGAAGCCAGAAGGAAAAAATCAAGGCATCAGCAGGGCCATGCTTCCTCTGGATGCTCTGGGGCCTTGTCCAGGTTCTGGTGGATGTCGGTATTCCTTGACTTGTAGCCAAGTTACTCCAATCTCTGCCTCTGTCTTCAATAGGTCTTCTTCTCTTCTGTCTATATAAACTATCCCCTCTGCCTCAGTCTTTTGTTGATGCTTATCATTGGATTTAGGGCCCACCCAGAAAATCGAGAATGATGTCCTCATCTCAGGACACTTAATTACGTCTGCAAAGACCCTTTTTTCCAAATAAGGTAACATTCACAGGTCCTGGGGATGAAGACTTGGACATATCTTTTTGGGTACCACCTAACTCACAACATTACTCTTCTAACTGCTTAATATCTTTAAGAAACTTTATTACATTTCTTGTCTCCTAATGGCTTTCTGTCCTGTTTATTCTTTATTGATTTTCTCTATCTATCAAATATGTGTATGTGTGTGTATATATATAAAATATGTGTATGTGTGTATGCGTGTGGCATTTCCTTTGCCACATTTACTGGGCTGTTAGGAAGAAGAGGACATAAATGTGTGTGGTCAGTCTACAATCTTGACTTTCCCATATATAATTTATTTAAGAAGAATTTACTAGATAGTCATAGAATAAAATCAAATTAAGCTGAAGTCTGGGAAAGTACAGAACAAATAAACCAGGTTTTGCAAAAATAGTTTAGGTATCTCTCTCTTTCTCTATTTTTGCCTCTTAATCTTTTTAAATCTGTTCCATCATGACACCCCAAATATTCAAATCCTTCATGTTTTCAGAGTAACAATAAGCACTCAGCAGTTTATCTGATACCTTCCATTTAAGGGTAGGAACAAAATAATAGAAAGGAAATATTACTAACCTGTACAAAACTGACCAGTATGACATTTTGCTGGCTGTTACTTTTCAAATATTTTTAGCTATTTCCCATGGTTATGACTGCGGTTTTCTGACTAGTGTTAGCAATAGGTGACGCAGATGCTGCTGACTTCAACTTGCTGTTGGCCATGATCACTAATTCGTTATATTATTCATTTTCAGTAAGCCAGGATACAGGTTCAGAATCGTTTTCAACACAGTATTCATGCAGTCATACCAATTTACCGGAGCTGGCATGTAAGTTGAAAATTGTTTGCCTTCTCTGCTCTAAATTCCCTTCCTTACATATCTTATGACTTTAATATATTTTACCACAGTAGGTCTCTCCCAATGTTATAATTTTTATATTTCTTCCGCTCTAACCAAGCAGTTAGAGAAGGCAGTGCAATATAGTTAAAAGAACACTGGATTGGGAGCCAAAGAGCTTGAGTTTTGGTTCCATATTAATTACTTGTGTTATATGGATAAATTATTTATCTTTCTAGATCTCAGTTTTTCTCACTCACGAAATAAGGCAATTGGATTGTGATCATTTCTAAGATACTTTCCAGCTCTGAAAACTTTTAATATCCAGCACCCAACTAGATATTTCCACTTAAATGTTCTATCACTACCTGAAACAACCTGTCAAAAAATTTTAATTCAATGCCTTAAAGCATCTTTTCTCTTAATTCTTTATTTCTAGTACTTTGTACTCTAAACTCAAAATCTTTTAGTTTCTCTTGTTTCCTCTTTTATTTACCTTTTATATTTTATCTTTCCCCACGTCCTATAAATTCTTTCTTAGATGCTTTTGCATCTATCCATTACTTTGTATATCAGCTTTCACTGCTCTCACCCATGATTTTATGTTCCCAGTAAACTTGACCTCTTTGGCCTTCAATTCATATTATATAACCTTACAAATTCAATATCTTTACTTATTTTCACAACGTGACTCTCCTACTCAAAATCTTTGGTGATTTTTCCTTGTCAATATGATAAAAATCAGAACTTCTAGGTCTGCAGTTCAAAGCCTTCCACATTCTGCCTGTGACTTAATCTTGTTAACCTGAAAAAGTCTACCACGTCCCTTAAATGGTCTGTTTCATCCATTATCTATCATTACCTAGCCAACAACTTTCTGCAAATATACAAGAAAAAGTATTTGATTTGTCTAGCTCAGCATCTAGGTCTGTTGTTCACTCTTAGTTTAGTTTGTGGTAACTGGGGACAGCAAGGGCTATTAGTGAAGAAGGAAACTTCTCTTAGAAGAGAGTGTAGTAGCAAGAGTATAATCAGTATCTCTAACAAACCCTTAGGATTAAAGACTGTATAAGCACCAAACCTGACACTATAGGAAATCCAAACTGTAAATAAAACACTTAAATCATATGCTGATCATTTCATCATCTGAAATCTTTTTTCCTTCTTCTCAAGCTTCTATCAGTGAGCAGAGTCTGTTGTTTAGAGGACCTGGAATTATAACAGAAGTTATAAGTGCATCCTCTAGAGTTAGAAAAGATGGGTTTGAAACACATTTCATAGATTACCTATCTTACCTAATTATCTAAGTATATTATAGTTTGTTTACTCATCTGTAAAATGAGATAATAATTGCTAACATATTTGAGCTTACTGTATTCCAAGCGCTGTTCCAAATGCCTTTCATATATACAGGTTGAGTATCCCTTATTCAAAAATCTGAAATTCAAAATGCTCCAAAATTCAAAACTTTTTGAGCACCAACATTTTAGATTTGGGATGCTCAACCTGTAGTAACCAATCAATCCTCACAGTCCCATGAAGTAGGTCCTAATTTACAGATAAGGAAACTGAGGTACAGGGAAACCAATCAAGTTGCCCACCATGGCTAGCAATGGGTAGAGACACAATGTTTGAACTCAGGAAATCAGATTCATGCTTGACAAACAGAGCTTTATAAAAAATAGCTGTTATTATATTAATTGCTGTCCATTTTAGCAACTAAATATCCATTCCATTTTTTCCACATTTACTCATCATGTCTTACCTGGATGATGCAGAAGTTCCTGGGAACAGACAGTCTCATGCTTCTTCAATCTCTCCTCCTCATGGTTTTCCAAGGTTCTTTAGCATGTCACTCCCCTGCTCAGAATTCAATGGCTTCCTCAACTATCTGATATATGTGATCTACCATGAGCCTTCTCAGCCCCATCATTCTTCTTTCACTCCCTCCCCAGAAACACTGTACTTTATGTAGCTCCTGGAAGATATCAGTTCCTCCCATGTTTAAAGGGGGATCGTACTGTATACTCTCATAATCTTGCATATCATTATATCTGGAAGAAATGCTATATCACCTACCTTGTCCATCTGTCAAAATCCTATTTCTCAGTCACGTCTTCCTGCTAATGTAATTTTTTCTTTGACACAAGCCCCAATTCCCCAGGGCAGACTAGGTACTTACACTATGCTCTAATGTTCTTTGAACACACATACCACACTGCATTTATATAAACAAATGCTGGTATTTCTGTATCCCTTCTGTGTGATCAGTACCTTGAGGACAATGACAATGAGTGTCTGTCTTAACCGTTTTGTGCTGCTATAACAGATTATCTGAGACTGGGTGTATTAATCCATTTCTGGTGCTTTTAACAAAATACTTGGAACTGGGTGATTTATAAGAAAATGAAGTTTATTGCTTACAGTTTTGGAGGTTGGGAAATCCAGTCCAGGGAACACATCTGGTGAGGATCTCCTTTGGTGGTGCCTTTACAGCAGTGTAGGGGTCTCACATGACAGAAAATGGCAGAACAGAGAGAGGGAGACTCTCATGTGTTCTTTTTAAAGCCCCTGACCACCCCTGACCACCATTATTAACTCATTTACTTTGGCATGGTCCAACAATCTAATCACCTCCCCAAGACCCCATCTTTCAATCATCACAATAGGATTCCCCACTGTCTCAACATTGTCGGACTGGGGGCCAAGTTTCCAATACCTGGAAATCTGGGAGACACAATTTAAGCTTCAATGAGTTTGGTGGGGGGGACATTCAGTCCACAGCACTGGGCAATATATAAAGAACATAAATTTATTTCTGGGGAGACTGGGAAGTACAATATCAAGGCTCCAGCAGGTTTGGTGTCTGGTAAGGGCCTGGTCTCCATTTCCAAGATGGCACCTTGAACGCTGTGTCTTCCAGAGAGGAGGAATGCTGTTCCTCACATGGCAGAAGAGCAAAAGAGAGTAAACCCACTCCTACAATTCCTTTTTATAGTGGCATTAGTCTGTTCATGAGGGTGGAGCCCTCCCATTAGGCCCCGCTTCCCAACACTGTTGCACTGGGGACGAAGTTTCACATGAATTTTGGAGGAAACGAAAATATTTAAACCATAGCACCATCTTTGTATTTCCAGTATCTATCACAGTGTTCTGCACACAGTAGGCACTTATTATATCTTGACTAAATTTCATTCTTTCCATATCACTCAGGAAGTATCAAACCCACAGAAACTCAAAATCTCCCTCCCACTATGTTTTTATTTTAATCAGTACTTCTTAAAAATTTAAGAAATTGAATTTCTTGGAAACATTCAAAATTTCTTGGAAGAAAACCCCAATTGAGTCTACAACTGATCTCTAATTATTGAGCTAATTGTAACAAAATAAAGATTTGATTAAACTGACCTAAACCCACTATGGTACTTGGCTGGGAGTGCAGAGAGTAACAAGAGAGGACAGAAGTAGGTGCTTCTGGGCTGACCACTGGTCTAACATGCCCAGGGTGCCCTTGCTGCCCAAGAATGACACCATGTTCTGGCTTTGTTCTCTGTTATAGCTACTCCCTTTTCTCTTGAGGTTCCTACATCTGACTTTTCCACACTTGAGCCTTCCTCTCACTGTTTATAAAGCTAAACTTCTGCTTTATCCACAATCTCTATTTGTTCTTATAGCAACTTCAGTCCTCTTACAGAATGGAGGCCGTGTTGTGTTCTATCTAGCCTCTTTTCTGAGACAGTACAGCAATTCCCCTAATCTCAGCATAGTTGCCAAAGTCCTACCTTTAATGGACATGCTATCTGGAAAAGGGACTTCTAATTTCATGCACTGATAAAAGCACAGTGGACATCTGTCTGCGTGTGTATGTTTACTGTCCAACATCTCTGTCTTCTTGTTTTGGTAAAAATACATTGATTACCATATGAAAAATAATCCCTCTCCTAATGCATGTTGTTTTTCAGGGGATGTCAGTGAAAGAGCCCTACCCTCCTAAGGTCAAGGCATGAACACTTGACCTAAGCAAGGACAATCAATTGTCTCTCTTAATTGTTAAACAGTTACTGATGATTAGTCTGACAGCAGCTCTCCAAAGAGACTATTAGTTCTGACTACTGGATTATTGGAATCATTTTGGCTCCTATCATGTTCTACACAATGCTTGATTGTTTAGCTTTTTGTTTGATTCTGTAAATGACCCCATACCTTTCCAATGAATAATTTTTATTGAGTCCTTTAGTTATACAGGGTTGGTTTACATCCTAAACTCCAAATTGACAAATGCAAATTCCTTGTTGTAATGCTTTTCTCAGCAATTGAGAACTGGTCTTGGAATCCCAACGTCAGTTGTGATGAATCACCACCACTAACAACAACACTATTTTTTATTGGGTTTTTAATAGTTTTCTACTCTTCCCATGACTGGGAACTATTGTAATTAACAGCCTCCATGCTTTGCCTCAACCAGCTGAATTTCTTGTGGGCCGACCCTGTCATGATGGTAGCTTCCCCCATATTGACCAATACTAAAGATGCTAATCCAATGTCAGTCCATACATGTTCTTTCTACTTCCGTTGCCTGACCAATTTTTTTTCTTTTAAGCTTTATTGACCTGAAATTCACATATCATAAGATTCACCCATTCTAATGTACAGTTTAGTGATTTTTAGTACATTTATATTTTCTGGAAGTCTCACCGCAATCTAGTTTTAGACTGTATGCCAAATTTTGGTGAGAATATTTTCTATGGCCACTGATAGATCTCAGTATCATGTGCTGCATAGACTATACCAGTGCCAGACCTGGCACACGTAGCAGTCAGTCCTGGAGATGTGCTGGTGCCCTCAAGTTTAAAGTGAGGGAGAGTGGCAGTGAGGTAGGTTCAAACAAAATTACTATGTGTTGAAGAAGCACCGCCAAGAGTCAAATAGAGAAGACACTAGAAACCCCAAATGGGATCCAAATAATAGAAATCAGGAAGGTAGACAAGGCAACAGGAAATAGGACACTTATAAGAAATGCCATAGGGTCCAACCTGAGGCTGCTGGACAGATCTGACTGCTTTTAATGGATGTGGTACATGTCTGCTTAATGATGCCACCTGATATGCCAGATGTTTCAACTCAACTTAATACAAATTTTTAATAAATGGGGATGAAAATATTAACATATGTAAGATTAGCCTTGGCAATAGGATTGAAATGTTTTTCTTCTTCCTCTTTCACCATTCATTTTAATGTGAATCTATCTGTGAGAAAAATGGATAATTTATGTTAATAAAATAATGGTAATACATTCTTCTAGATCATATTATATTGCTTTTGAAATCATTATCTCCTGCCCCCATTCTGAACTTATTGATGAATGGCACTATATAAGAGTATCAAAAAATTAATTTTGCAGATTCCTAAGACTGACAATAGAGGACTGATGTTAATCATATGAAGATATAATATTGAAACAAAACAACTGGAGTGAACATGGAAGAGAATAAAGCTTTTTGTCTTTTATCCCTCCCTAGTTCTCCTTGCTCTCTGAGATCATCCTCTCAAGGGAACAAAATATTGAGTGGCCAGTCTGGCCTTCCTGTTGCTTTTGTATATCCAAGCCTATCACTCTTAAAGAAATCATGAAGGTGTGTAAATATCTCTGCTGAGTCCAGCTACAGCTTTCCCTGAAAAAGAATATAATTTGGGAAAGGTGCAGAATATATGAGTATGTTTCCTCATTGGTAATGAAAAAAGTTAACTTTATTTTTTCAGAGTAATTTAAATTTGTTGCCAAGAACTATTTTTGAAGTATCAAAGAATGAAACAAAAGCCCTGAGAAATATAGACATCAGAAACCTTTCTTTTACAAGGAAATGGAAGAAATAGGAACCGAGAGAAAACTGGAGAAGATATGGTAATACTGGGGGTTATGATAGCTTTGTGAAAAATTTCCTTTCAAGGGCCTGCCTGTGGTTCACTTGGGAGAGTGTGGTGCTGACAACACCAAGTCAAGGGTTAAGATCTCCTTACTGATCATCTTTTTTTAAAAAAAAAGAAAAGAAAAAAAAAGAAAAATTTCCTTTCAGAGACAGGTTCAACTAGAACAACTAACATTGTCCTGACAAGTGACAACTTACACGGTATGGTGGACACAAAACAGCCAATGAAATTCCTAAAATTTTTCAAAACAAATGGTGTCTGTCTCTCACCAAGGACCTACATCCATACTGTTATCCAAGTCTTGCTCAGAGTACCTTGTTGCTTTACCTCCCATGGATTGGTCACCCCTCTTCCCCTGGGTGACAGAGCTACAAAGGATTACTGAAAGCCCATCTCTTCTGAGCAGTGAGAAGCCCTGAAGGGGTTAATCTCCCAGAACCCTCAAGAGAGGCATTCCTTCCTTTTGGGAAATTAACCACAAACTGGGGTTCTCACCCCGCATTTATTCTCCAGACCAGGAAGTCACAGGAAAAGAACATAGGTGGGGTTTTTGTAAGTATAGTTTAACAAGTTTAACAATAGAGGCTGGTAACATCAGTAAAACAAGCAAAGTGACATTCCATAATGCAATTTGCAAGAGGTTAAGTCGATCCACCAACAAAAGCTCGATCTTAGCAAACACTGTCTTTCCCTACAGCAATTTCCCAGTATCTTTACATATCAATCAAGTAACTTGTCTGTTCTTGAGCCAGCAACCTTGCTGTGTTATAATTCTTTATCTTACGATAGAGACTATAGCCTGGGGAAAATTTCCTGTCTTTTGCAAGGTCAACATTTCTATATGTACTTTTAAGAAGTAAGGCTAAACCTGAAACTGCAGGGCTTTGGAGGCCCTGTGAAATACATTTGCTTTATAAATATTAGTATATTCCATGGTACCTTCTAAATGTCTCTAGAATTTACTGATCTTTAATATTTCCTGGTCTCTACTGTCCTTTCTCAAAACCTCATTATTTCTTGTCTAGATTACTGTGATGGCCTAATTACTAGACTCCCTGCCCTTTCATATGGGGACACTTCAAAAAGTTTGTGGAAAAATAGAATTGGATGATAATGCAAATTTTCCATGAACCTCTCAAAGTACCTTTGTATTCTGTGCATGGCTGTCAGCACTCTGATCATGGCTACCATGCTTCAATTTTTAAACTTCCCCTTATCTTTCAGAATGAAATTCAAATTCTTTAACGTGACCCTTAGGAAAACTTCATGCTCTGACTCCTATGTACCTTTCCAACGTCATCCCTCACTACTTTCTTTCCTTATACTGGACATGTCAACTGATTGCAACAGTTTCATTCATTCATCTGTTTAGCAAATACTGACTGAGCATTCAGCATTTGTCAGGCACTGTTCTAGGTGCTGGGAATATAGTGGTAATGCCTTCACTTTCTAGAATATGACTTGCTCGCCCTTATTTCTGGGCCTATGTGTATGTTCTTCTCTCTCCTGTGAACTCCCTTCCTTCTTGAAATGTACTTTCTAAGTGTACCTCTAACTTACTTCTGGTAAGCTTTTCCTATTCCCTAGGCTGACTTAGGTGACATGCTAGGTCCTTTCATAGTACCCTCCCGCCTCGTGCATTATCACACTACATCTTTCCACTTCTGTCTACTCAACTAGGGTATAAACTCCTTAAGGCAATATGTCTGTTTTTTTTGTATCCCTGAGATAGTGCCTTGCATATTATAGGTGTTGTTTATGGGACATCCTTTGAAAAATCTCCAAATGGGTTCTGAGATCCTAGGCACTGCCTATTAATGATTTTTTCCTTCTCTTGGGAACAGATGGATCTAATCTATTTTGATCATTGTTTTTAAAGCAAGTTATGCAAAGGTGACTGTTGGGAAAATATAGGAAAATGGCCAGGGCCCCTGAGATGTTCAGAATCTTGCTGAGTATTTGCTGTAACTATCCATGTACACCCGGGTGTTCCTTGGTCACTACCTAATGTAATTAGATATGGGCACCCAGGTGTCCCGGGTTATGGACCTAAGTATAGAGAAATAATGGCTCTGATACACGGCGCTTCTCCAGACACTCCAAGAAGCCACTAGGGCAGCTGCTCCTAGCTCTAAATAAAGCCTATTAATTTTTTTTTTATCCATGGCTCCCAGGACCTTTTCCTATTACCTAGCTTGTAGACCTGCATGTGGAGGGCCTGTGACCCAGTCTGTACAACAGGCTTGAGGGGTCTGTGAGCCCTAGCCCTAACTTTACAGTGACTATGCCCTTTTATGAAAGATATCAATACAAAGGGAGAATAATAAAATTTGGAAATCCTTTGAGTAAAGCTTTTCTTTAGAAATATGTTTGCATGCCTTTTATATCTCTATATCTCTATATCTATCTATCTATCTATCTATCTATCTCCATAGCTAGATTAGGAAGAAATTTGAACCTAAATTTGAACTTTTATACACCAGTTAAGGCAAACAGAAGCTTTAATATATTTCACCACAGGCCACAATTCCTGCCCCGAAGAAGAGGTCAGAACATTATCTCCCTCTGGTGGTGCAGTTACCTGATAGTCCCATAGACTTTGGACCAGTCCCCTTTGTGGTCTGCTCCTGAGCAGGTGGGATTTCCCAGAAAAATGCTCTGAAAAGAAAATTTATGAAGATTTCTTTAAGAGGGCGCTTGGGATCTACATCTGAGGTGGGTGTTAAGGGTCAGTGGTGAAAGGAAGTGAAAAAGCAGAATTGGGTGGAGGGAGAAAATGAATTACAGTGTTGTCATAATAAAGATCATAAAGATCCTACAGGAATCCTGGACCTGGTATTACCCCAACACTGAGGCAAAGGCAGTTGTACTTCTATGCTCCTGTATAGAACAGTCTCTCAGCCCTACCCCATGGCAACCTGATGAATGAGGGTTCTTTCTTCAGCTGTCAATTCCCAAGAAGGAAATAAGATGAGAGGTGGGGGAGTGGTATGGCTTGAATGCATGTGTCCCTCCAAAATTTATATGTTGAAATCTAATCACCAAGGTGATTAGAAGGTGGAGATCTCTGGGAAGTGATTAGGTCATGAGGGCTCCACCCTCATGAAAGGGATCAATGACCTCACAAAAAAGCCTTCAGAAAATTGCCTCTTCCTTCCTTCCCTTTCATCCCTTCCATTTCTTCCACCGTGTGGAAGATCATCCCTTCCTCTATGAAAGGATGCAGCAACAAAGTGCCATCTTGGAAGCAGAGACTGAGTCCTCACCAGACACTGAATCTACTAGTGCCTTGATCTTGGACGTTCCAGCCTCTACACCTGTAAGCAATAAATTTTTATCATTTATAAATTACCAAGTCTAAGGTATTTTGTTATCACAGTAGGAATGGACACCCACAGAAGTGGGCTCTTCACTTCCGAAGGAGCAGGTGATCTGGGCTGTGGCTCTAGGATCCTACAGCTCCTAGTCACTTAGTGAGAAAAGCCAGGTTTGAGGCTCAGGACCATTAGGAAAATTCAAGATTCCCACCTGCATGGAAATGGAGGGCTAAAAGCAAGGTAGGAATAGCAAGAAGGTGTTTGATCTCAAGACCACTTCTCCTTCTTTCTTGCTGTTAAAACTCATTCAGTTGCTCACCTTCTATGTAGCCACTATCTCAGGGAAAGTGACTCGGATCTCCAGTCTCAAGGGGATAAATCTGATTACTCCCAGCCAATCATGGTAATTTTATTCTGCTTTTCAGAGTCTGGTTTAAGAAGAGTCATGTGATCCTTCTGGGCATGGAAAGGTAAAGGGAAGTCAGCTGGGGTTGCTTCTCAGAAAGGCTGGCTCTTAAAAAGAAACACGTTCGAAAAAACAGTAACTATTTTAACTTCGGTTGTGGCTAGGTGAGGAAGTGATGTCTAGAGCTGCTGCAGCCACTTGGATCATGAGGAGAACCAGCCTAAGTTGAGAAGCCAGGATGCTAAAGATGGCAGAATAAGAAAGTGGCAAGAATCTGGTCCTTGATGATGCTGAGTTACTGAATTAATAAACCCTGCAACTCCCTGTATTAGTAAGGGCTCTCCAGAGAAACAGAACTAATAGGGTGGTTATATAAATATGTAATAAAGAATTAGCTCATGTGATTACAGAGGCTGGCAAGTCCCAAGATCTGCAGTTGGCAAGCTAGAGACCTAAGAGAGCCAATGGTATAGTTCTAGTCCAAAGGCTGGCAGACCTAAGACACAGGAAGTGCTGGTATTTCAATCTGAGTCCAAAGGCAGGAAAAAATAATCTCCCAGCTTGAAGGGAATCAGGCAGGAGGGATTCCCTCTTATTCAGGAGATGGTCAGCTTTTTTGTTCTATTCAGGCCTTCAGTTAAAAAAGTCTGTCGATTTTATTGTTAAATTTGTCCAAAAATATCCTCGTGGGGACATTCCATATAATGTTTGATCTAATATCTGGACACACTGTGGTCCAGTCAAGCTGGTACATAAAACTAACCGTCATAATCCCCTACTTTAAGATTTCTCAATAAGTGAAATAAAATTTTTCTTATTTCTTAATGGAATAAAGGCATGAAA